GCCACTGTGCTGGAGAAGCGCAGCTCCATCACCTCTCTGCAGGCAGAATTAAGTCTCACATGAAACCTTACAAATGTGCTTTGCGCTGACTTGTGCTACTCAGCGTTTTTGTAGTGCTAACAGCACAATCCACCAAGCCCCTAATTCCTTTTTCAAACCTGACATCAGTAGATAAGGTTGACTCAGTATTTCATTTGAAATTTTCATAATCATGCTGTACAGCAGAAGCACAGAGGATTTCAAATATAGTCCTTTACAATGAGCTCTGCTTATTGTTGTTACAAATTTTATTTAATGTGATTTGTCAGTTTCACTTTCAGAAATGCTCTGTCCTTTACTTATGTTCCAATAACTTCATTTGCAGAGAAAATATGCAGATGTACTGTAGAAAACCTTTTCTAAATATAAACTGATAGTATTTGCATTTAGTTTAACCGACCTCAAGGATAACACTTCACAGATAAAATATTCCAGTCAGACAGGATTTCTTAAAAAGGTGGAACATTTTATCAGTGTTTCTGGAAGATGATCACACTGAACTAGAGCCCCTTTTGAATGGAGACACACTACAGCCTTCTATAACCAGGGGTGGATGAGTTAGCTGAGTATTTGACTTGCTAAACCGATAAAGAACAGATTGCAATACCAGTAGTTCTAAACAATTTTAAATCCTGCTGGACAGTGGCCGTCCCTAACCAACCTTCCTTTTAAAGTCTCCTTTAAAGTATTAAGGTATTTGTTCCAGGGCTAAAGTAGTGCCAACTTCATTGCTGCAGAAAACTCTCGCACCTCTTGTCATTTCTGTGTATGCACAATGCTGCCAAGGGTACTAAAGACTTAAGGTTAATCGTTTTAAAAAATCACTTCAAAGTGACCAGGTCTTTTCAAAATGCACTAGGTTAAAAATCACACCACAGAAAAAGTTGGGAGTTATCCAAGTGCATTGTCATCTTTTCTCACAATTGCAAAATGTAGATATAACTTCGTCACCTTTTGTTAAAGACCAGGAGAGACAGAAGGGCAGTTTTAGATGAGACACTGTTGCTTGTTGCTACACCTAGTTCAGACACTGAAGACCTTTTGTATTTCCCTAAATGTAAATTACTAATAGCGGTGTAATACAAGCTCTTCTTTTATCATGCCACTGACTGATAGTTATGTTAACATCAGCCTGACATTAGTGGCTTTCGGAAGAAGGTCAAGATTGCCAGTATCTGTGTCAACCTGCTTAACTACCAATTTTACAAGTGAAACTTTTCTCCCTTCAAACGCAACACGGTCACTGCAGACAAGCAGGATCGAGTCCCATAGAGTATAAGGAAGCGTTATCATATCAAAATTAAATCACAACCTGTAGCCACTATCTCAGAGTAACCCCCTGAAGCAACTAAAGAGTTCAAAATTAAGTTTAAATGACAGTTCAGATAAAATTAGTATACATGGTTCTGTGCCTTTCAAGACTATAAAACAGAGCACTTCACAACCTGTCAACTTCAGTCCCGTGACGTGCCACTGCAGGTCTCCTGCTGCAACCACACGGTCTCTCTACCGGCAGGACAATCAAGAGAGCCAAAACAATGGTTAAAAACGACTAGGGCACACCCCAAAGGGCAACCACAAAACTGGATCACAGCACCGGGACAGGAGAGAAAAAGGCCCAGGCCTACACAGCAAGCAGACCAGCACAGTCCGAACCCCAACCCTTGTGCTGCCCCTCTCCCCTTCGACCTCAAGGGTCTCAAACCTGGTTCCCGGAGCTTCTAGCGATGGCTGGGGTCAGTCCCACAGCTAGTCTGCCTGTATAATCGACAGCCTTCAGATCTGCTCTGAGGAGCTTTACAGGTAAGCTCACCTCTACTGGGCAGCCCAGGGCGCAGGGCTAGAGCACTTACTGGGGAGCTGCGGGTGTGGAGTTTGTATGGGTCTCCTCCCACCATAAACCATAAAACACCTGGATGAACTGCACTGGAGCCTGTTCTAACACCTCTTTACCCCACTGGGAGGTGGCAGATACACAGAAATTACTGGCCAGAGCCTCATTCTGACCCACCTGATTAGAGTCTGCATTAGATTAAGGGTCATGTATTGTCGTGCTTTTGTTAATTTCTATGGACTTCAAGTATAGATCCTACTTCCATTTTTGTTCCATGTTTTGCTTTGACTGCTGTATCTCCTGCTGTTTTTGCATTAACAGATGTCTTATTTCATTCAATGTTATTACACAGTTCGCCGGTATAGGAAAGCACCTTGGATAAAGGCTCAAGCTAAAAGAAAAAAGGTAAATAACCCCTGAAGCAACACAAGAGCATTTGTGCTCCAACAAAAGCCCCAGTTAAGAGAAGTTGCAAGCTTGCACTAATGTAATCATCAGTTCTCATGCATTTCAGATGTACTGGGAAAAGTGGTAAATTTTCAATGCACATCTTTTATTACTGCACATGAAATGGAATAAAAGTTGAATCCATTTTTTTCCTAAATGCAGACCATTCTATGACAAATAAAACCAACACAAACATGGAAAAAAAATAATCTACCTTAACAGTATGAGCTAAAGCTCTGCATAACCTTGAAAGTTAGTAGCAGATGAGTATCAGGTTAGTAGCCAAAAAATAAGGTTATGCTTATAAAGACCAGGGCAACCATTCTCCACCAAAACAGAACTGAAACACTCAAAGAGACTAACATCCGATCAACTCAGCTTGGAAATCATAGGCCACAGACCACAACGTTTAACCCATTACTGAAACAACCAGAACCAAACATTCAGCAGCACAAGAACTGGGACTGGCAAGAACTTGATTTCCTTAATAAAGTGCAAAGCGATTTGTTAGTAGTGGAAAGCATGGTAATTAACACAGATCTTAAAAAGTACCACAGCTCAAAATCAGAACGCCTCTTCCTTGAGGTTAATTCTCCTCCAACTCCTGATAACTTGTGCCTCACACCACAAGAAACCTGGAACAGCGCAGGACTCTGGCCAGGCCACAGCTTTCCAGGGAAAGAAGTGGGAGAAGGGAGTGAAAGTAAACATGCCGGCTTTCCATATTCCTCCAGTCACAGGAGGACCCAACCGGTCTTCACCTACAAGCCACTGCAAATAAGGGCACAAAGAGATCATTGTGCATGAGACCTTATTGAACTCATGCACCTGTGCCACTCTATGAAAAAAGAGAAACTACTCTTCCTTCTCTGAAGACTGAGCCTGGATACAGCACACTGTGCCCGTCACCTCTTCAGACATATCGAGGGCAATGAGACACTGTCCCAAAGTCCAAAGTCGTTAAAGCTTCTCTGGAGCATCACCAAGCTGTACTGTAAGGCTGAATCCTAGGTGTTCTCCAGTCAGGAAGATACCTTTCTTATCCTCGCAGGCAGCTGTTCAGCACAAGGCCTGCTCTAGTCTACTGGGATCAGGTGTGACTACCCTGTGTGCAGGCAGTGAACAGTGAGGGAACGCTGGCACCTTGAGGCCAGGCTGCAGCATGGCACCAGGCACCTCCTTTCAGAAGGGCACCAGCAGCGAGACTCTGTGGCACAGTGCTTCCCTGCTACAGACCCATTGACAACTGCCTGCACTGCTCACCATTAACACCCATACAAGACCTGTGAACTCACGATTCCTTACCCCAGAGGACACAGTTTAACTATTGAAATCTTTTAACCATAACACAACCATACGGGATTAAAGCTGCCTAGTCATCTAAATCAAAGAGATATTATTGAAGCGGTTATGTCAGGCTTAGCTGTCAGGTCTCTATTTGTCTTTCAGTTCATCCACTTGAAACTTCAGGCTGTTCCAGAACTGAGCAGCTGGACAGGGAGGTCTGAAGCAGCCACTAGTCTATTAAAACAAAATGATAACCCCAGTTTGAAAGGGGATGTTTATTCATGAGATGCGGCTAGCGCTTCAAGAACAAAACAGTCGGAAAAAATAAAAACACAAAAGCACATATCGTGTATATTTATATATTTACAAACTGAAGAGGAAAGGACAGGCGGCTTTTCAACAGCTGTCAGATGTAGTCGAGTCCGACCAGTACAGACCGGAGGAGGGTTCAGTTTTAACACCAGGAGGGGGAAAAGAAAACTAAAAGATAAAAAGGAAAACATTTTACCACGTTATCTGTAAAAAGCTTCAAGCCGACTTAAAATATGTACATTCCTTGCTGATGAAGTCCGGAGCCAGCGCCCCGCAGTCCAGTTCGGGAAGGGCCAGCAGCCCCGCCGGGCCGGCCCGGGGCCGAGGGGCCGCCAGGGCCCGGCAGTGCTCGCTCACTCGCCCGGCGAGGCCCCGGGGCCCCGCTCCCGGCTCCAGCGCTCGTTCTGCAGGCGGAGCTCGCTGTTCTGCGCCCGCAGCCGCTCCAGCTCGCTCTGCAGCTCCTGCAGCTCCTGCAGCCGGGGGTCCGGGGCCGGCTCGGGGGCCGGGCTCTCGGCGGGCACGTCCAGGCCCTTGGCGGCGCGGAGCCGCAGCACGTTGTTCTCGTCCTCCAGCCGGGACATGCACTTCTCCAGCTCCAGGTACTCCCGCACCAGCTCCTGCTTGGTCATGTTCTGCAGGCTCTCGACGTGGTAGCGCTCGTAGGTCTCGGAGAAGTCCCGCTGCAGGAACTCCCCGCCGCCGTCCCCGGGCCGCCCCATGCCGTCGCTGCCGCCGCCGCTGCCCTCCTCCTCGTCCTCCGGCTCCGGGAAGTCCTCCTCGCTGGCCGTGTCCTCCGGGCGGCCCGCCGCGCCCAGCCGCCGCCCGCACAGCTCGGTGTTGAGGTCGGGCTCGCCCAGGTCGTGCTCGTCCATGAGGAACTGCGTGGTGTTGTAGGGCGCCACCGGCAGGCCCTTGGCGAACATCTCGGCGCGGACCCGGGAGGCCCGGGCCGTCTCCCGCTCGTCCAGCTCCTTCTTCTCCTCCCAGGACAGCTTGAAGTAGGGCTTCCAGCGCCGCTTCTTCTTGGAGGGCCGCCGCCGGTGCTTCTTCTTGCCCAGGCGCGCCTCCGGGATGGCGGGCAGCCCCCCGCCGGGGCAGCCGGGGTTCAGGGCGCCCCCGCCCCGGCCCTGCGCCGCCGGCCCGCCCTCCCCGGGACACGCCTCCGGGCTGCCCCGGGCCTGACCCGGCTCCTCGGCAGCGCCGTTCTGGGCCGGCCCCCCGGCTCCGCAGCGCCCCCTAGCGCCCGCCTGCGCGCCGCCGCCCTCGCAGGCCGCCAGCTGCCCCGGAGGCTCAGGGCTGCCCCCTGCCGGGGCCCCGGGGGACTGCGGGCCCCGCTGGCTGTCCGGGTCGGCAGGTTCCGACATCCTGGCAGCAGGTGGGCGGCTCGTCCGCTCCGCTGCGCAAATCCGAGCCCCGACTCTCCCCCCAGTCAACGCGAGCGAGATCTCGGGCTTGATCAAAAGTCGCTCTTCTTTCCTGAATTCAACAACATCCGGTCTCTATCTAGGAAGCGTCGAGCCTGGACGAAGCAGAAAGTTGTCTTCAGACTTCTCACTTGTTACTCCTGACGCGCCGCTAGTTGCTCAGCTCTCCAGTGCCTCAGTTAACTCTTTCAGCACCCGTGACCCTCTTCCGCGCCTCCTAAGCCTCACTCTACCGCCTCCACATCTCTCTCCCAACTGCTGGCGGAGAGCAGCAGCCCCTGTTTATATACAAACACCGCCGCGCGCTCTGCGCATGCCAGAAACTTACGGGCGGAGCGACGTTCTGGAACTTGTAGTCCGAACGCCCTATTCCGAGCACGGCCAGGGGAGCCTAAAAAACTACCTATCCCACAACCCCCAGCTACATTCCCCAGCTGTCGACCAATCACCGTGCGAGGCCCGAGACGAGATTCGACCCGGTCCTTGCGCGCGGCCATTGGACAGAATGACTCGTGCGCTGTTGCTAAGCTTCAACTGGTTCTCGATTCGTCTGCTGAGCTGTCAATTTAAAACTCCTTCTTCCAATCAGTTAACGTCAACGGGGCCAGCCTTCTGGGAACTACCACTTCCAAATGTTAGGGGGAGACTCCGTACAAACTGTTGAAATCATTATTTGAAGAAGCGCTACAGAGACACAATGACAACATCAGATACAGCTGAGAACAGTTTTAATTAACTGACCGTTTATGTTTATGTTTCTAGATGTTTAAGAAATAGTACTATGAATATCCTAACCAGAACTGATCACCTCAGTTGAAGAGATGAACGCTCCCTCATCCAGAAACTAGTTCCCCACTCAGTCCTGTAACATATAGATATAAATCTGCATTAAATCTTACGATGACTTTTGCCTGCGCTTGTACATTAAATCGTTCAACATGTCTACGTTGTTTCAAACGCTGTGAGGGTGGCTCTGCCAAGCCCCTGATTTCCAGAGCGGATGGATATGCTGACGGCGCTCTCTTCATTCCGCTGAAAGGAGTGCGCAAGGAAAGCCCAGCTGTGAAGCTGTACCGTAAACGCATGTGAAATAAACGAGTGTACCTAAAGGCAAGGCGGGGCTGTAACTTCGTAGTTTCATTTAAGAATGTGCCGTATCTCCGTTCCCGGGGTGCTGTTCCTCCCCGGGCTCTTGCTAGCGGTCCTGTGTCGAGTCCAACGCCGCCGTGTTCCGGGCGGTCGCTCCTGCGGGTGCGTGTCGGGGGGGCGGCGGGCGCCGGGGCCCATTCCGACGCACAGCTCTGCGCCAAGTGTGCTAAACCGGCTGAAGCCGTCCGGTTTTCACGGCGATAGCGGGGTGGCGTGAAAACACGACGGAGAGCGAAGCCCTCCGAGTGCCCCCCGTGTCTGCGGGGGACCCCGCGCCCCCAGTCCGGCCAGTAGCCCCCCGCGCAGGTCTGCGGGTCTCCCAGACGCCGAGGCTGGCAGAATTATTTCCCTTAAGAAAAACATGCAGGCGGTTCCTCGGTTGTAGCCGTAAATCGACGTTTCCCCCCGCCCCGGGTGACCAAGGGGCTCGCTGGCCGGGGGTGGCTGCAGGCGGCTGTCCACTCTGACCGTCCGGCGAGAAGGAGAGGTTTCTTACTGAACGTGTCAGGGCACCCAATCCAGGTTAAAAGATGAGGATGATTTTCGGGCCCCCTCGCATCTTGGTCTGCGTGTGGCAGTGTTTACAGGGGGCCGCATTCAAAGTATTTGCAAGTGTGTGGGGTGACTCCAGACGCCCAGGGGTGTATGTCAGGTGAGGGGGTACCGTGCTGCGCCCCAGGAGGGGGGCGGCGCCGCTCGGTTTGGTGCCGTTTGTGGCGAACTGCTCTCACAGCTGCAGGTCAGGGCTCACTGGTACCGCTGGAACCGGTACCGGCACCGTGGATTTCCGAGCCTCGATCGGACTCGGCGGCGATGCGCGTCTGTTGTGTTTGTGCTGCGCTCCGGCAGTGACAGCACAACGTCACCGGTTTCAAATATCTGGCCTTATTTGTTGCTAAACACCACTGTTACAGAGTTTGAAACACCCATTCCCCCTTTTGCCGAGCTCTCAGTGTTGACTGTTTAAGTTAGGCCGTGGCTAAAAACTCAACCCCTTTAGCTTTTCTTTAGAAAGGTTTTTCCAAGCTCTGGAAAGGATGGTACAGAGGTTCCCAATCCTGTTACTGGAGGAACACTGCTGAGCTCTGAATCTATGGTGTTCATCGATGATTTAATTGCTCTTCTTGCTTGTTTAGATTTTTAAAGTTGATTCTCCTGTTCGCCTTGAGTGTCAGATTCCTTGCTTCCCAAGGTATCGATTCCAGCATCTTCAGCACACGGAACAGCATCTTCCTCCGTGTTTTGTTCAGTTTAAGCAGTCCATTTGTTCAAGAATTTTAGTTCAGCCTCAGCCACAGCAATAATGCGTGTGGTGTGAGCTGGCACCAGGCACAAAACGGAGCAGGCTCAAACACCACACTGCCCACACGGCCTTGTGTGTCACGCAGGGCCTGATGCACAGGCTTCTGTAGAAAGATAATAAGTGTTTCTTGAGATTGTAAATATTGTAGAAAAAAAGTGGTCTGTAATCTTCTGGGTGTGCTCTTTTTATTTTGGCAGAGCACAAATTGGTGCCAATTGCATGACAGCAGGTCAAAGTACAACTGCCTGTCACCTTGACTGAGCTGAGACCACCGAAATAGTTCCCTCTTGTGACCTACGATGTTACTTACGATTCAGTTTTTAAATACCAATGCTTATTTATTTTTACCTTTCTTTCTAAGCAAAAGGGGTAGTACAAACCTCTTTCTGCTGCTTCCACATCTATAAAGAGGAAGGAGCCATGTACTGTTAGCACACTGTTTGAACCAGCTGAGTTAAACTGGCCTGATGTTTGGGACTATTCCCAATTCCCACCGGACTGCATTTATTGTGGTTCTTCTGAGAGAAAACTGGAAGAAGTAAGCCAGCAGATTTCACACTCTGTTTAGTTGTGTGGCTTGCTTTGTTATAGTCCAATCCATCAAGCAAATAAACTCCATGTGGTCTTTGTTTTTATGAGGTGAAAAATAGCTGTAAGAAACAAATGCATTGTGGGCCAAACACAAGGCAGATCCAACAGAATCAGCCTCCTGGCAAGGAGATTGTGAATGTGAAACACCTCTCTAAGGGCTCACTCCAATAAATCAGGGGGAGGGGGTTGTATTTGCATTTGTGAGTTAGCACACACTGTGAGAAAGGGCCACAATGAATACTTTCCACTGTGAAAAGCCATCTATCCACCAGTAAAGGCTGTCTCTTGCTCACGAAAAAACAAGCAACGACTATGATTATGATTATGGAACTAGTGAAGGTTTGCTTCAGCTGAAAGCAGATGAAAGGAGACAGCTTTCGGCTGTGGAGCCTTCTTTGGGTGTGTCAACCCGAAGAAGGCTCCACAGCCGAAACGTTGTGTTTCTTTTCAGCTGGAACAACTTTCAGCTTTACTAGTTCCTTTGCAGCCTACGCATGCTGACGCAGCTCCCTACTGGATCATGATTATGTCTTAGAAATTAATTTGTTAAGCAGTTCCCACTGTGAGGACTAGTAGACTCCCTCTCTTACATTCTGCCTACATAACTGCACGAGGCTGGTGTGACCAACTTTGGTGTTTGTGTCTGCTCTGTTTTGTGCTCTGTGATTTTCCACAGTAAAGACAGCTGACTTTAAGAAGGTTCTGTAGATCCACTCAATCAAGGTGCAGCAGAAGCAATGAAGTGAACATTTCATCATGTTTGCTTTCTGTTATGAAATAAGTCTTTATCTGATGCCTGTGTTTTATACAGACTGTTGTAAAAGTCTCAGTATATGGACTTTGTTCTGGAATGAAAAGCTTCAATGTTCTCTTCATTTGGAGACCCCCAGCACCAAGCACAAAATGGAGCAACACTAACACAGCGGTATCTGACAGCTTGGCCCTGTATCCAGTGAAGGACTTGATACAGAGGGTGATATTTTTATCACTGGTACCAGAGTGTTGTAGGAAAACCAGAAAATGCCTTGTGATAGGGAACCTGTGTGGGATTATCTTGCTCCATCTTTTTGGCCAGGGTTCTGATGTGCGTTATCTCCTCTGGCCAGAGCTGTCTGTCTCAGCAGGTTCAGAGCCAGGCTAGTGTCTCTCAGGAGGGGCCCAAATGTACAGTAGGTCTCAAGACAGAGCTCGCCTGCATGTGTCTCTGTCACTTAAAATGTGATTCTTAGAAATGCAAAATCATGCTAAAGTGTGGTTGTTTAATATAATGGGAACATGACAAGAGGACTGCTGATGCCCTGAGTGACAACACAGATACACTGGGCAACAAACAGGCAGTGCAGACTGTCAAGATAAAGGGAAGTTGATGTCATACCGTTTGGGCTCTTTTTCACTATTTCGCATGAGTTCAACAAACTGGACGGCCGAAGCGTCAGCTCTGCGGGCCCGCTCTGTGTTTACAGTGCCATCTGGTGGAGACAGAGCCGCATTGGAGCAGCGCTGCCGAACAGGGGCTCCCCGCGCCCGAGCAGGGGCACGGCTGTCTTCCGGTTTCTGCTGCAGCCGAGCTCTTAATCGTCAAGGATTTCGGTTTTCTATTCGGGTCCTAACTGCGAATTTATATTCACCTCCTGCAAGGGCGGATGGGTTGTGGAAAAAGAGTTACTGATTTTGGGCACATTGTTATTATAAATAAATAACCCTTAGACTTATATAGCGCTTTTCTGGACACTCCCCTCAAAGCGCTTTACAGGTAATGGGGATCCCCTCCACCACCCGCAGTGTGCAGCCCCACCTGCTTGAGATGACGGCAGCTGTAGTCAAATCCATACAGGCACACATGCAGTAAATTTATATCTTAGATTGAAAAAAAAAGAAGGAAAAAATAGTTTTCCCTGCTTATTTGCAAGGTATTATTTGCTTAATTCCCTAAATGGTTATCTGATTTGTACTTTACTGCATCATGCGTTGTAAGAATCATAAGCCATACCCTCCCCTGCCACCGTGACCCCAGTAGGCTCCAGGGTGCTCCCTGGGCTGGCAGGGAGAGCCGACCTCCTCCTGAATCACTTCCTCATGGGAGGGAGACAACTGCCAAGGCAGTGCCGTCCCTTGTCTAGGTTTACTGGGAAACTTGGGGAGAATCAAAGAGCAACACAGCACAGGGTATTTCAGGAAACGCCGCAGTGCAGAGCAGAGTGAAATCAGGGTAAAATCAGAGGTCAGTGCAGCACAGCGCAGTGAAAGTGCTGCACAGAGTAGCATGGTAATGCACAACGCATCCCCTGGGACTGGCGATAAAGACAATAAACACATCTACAATAACTGGAAACTGGCTCCTATCCTGCACACGTACAAGAGTTCATGGCAAAGAGGTGTGACGGGCAGTGTGAGTGTCTGTCTAAGAAGAGCCAGTCGTCAGTCATCAAGCTCCCCGATACCTGGCAGCTGAGCACCTTCTTATTGAATGCACTGTCTCCTCAGCAGGGCACCAGCAGCCTGTGGGAGAGTGGTTACAGAACACCAGTACTGTACCGTACTACTATGGGTAACATGCACTCTGCACTGTGGAAGCAGATGGGTAAAAGTGTTGGCTCCACGCACAGCATGATGTTTAAGGCCAGGCTGCCTCTTGCTGGTGCATCAGTCCGCTCTTCCAGCGCACAGCCCAGCACTGCCTCAGTCAGACTCTCTCATTGTCAGGGTCCTGGCTTTGCACCGGAGACAGCAGTTCAATCACTGGTCAGCAGGGTCTGGACCTGCAGGGCTGCCTGCCTGATCTCCCTCAGAATGGAGCAGCGCCCTGAGCCCCACACTCTCACTAATTCACGGACCACAGCTCCGCTCCTTAGTTCAGTGCGCAGTCACATTCACGAAGTCATGAGCTGGGCCGGAAAAACAGGAAGTTTTCTAATAGTGAAAGCCACACTGAGACAGGCCAACTGTCAACCGGACACAATGTGTGTGCAGGAGCCTTATAAAACCTGTCTCCTTGGCATGAAGAATACAACTCCAGCACAGCACCTAGCACAACATGGAACAGACATCAACACCTCTGCATCTCATAACTTGGGCTGACAGCTGCAGGGATACTCAGGATTTCTGCACGGCTGCATCACTAGTTGATCTGTAAGCACTCCCTGTGGATGGCTGGACTCTTCTCCATTCCTAGGTCAGCTCAGCTCTGGGAAGATGAGGAATAGATGTTTTTGCTGAAGCACAACACAGCATGTGCAGGTTCATTAACACTCAGACGTATTTCTCCAATGCCGCCAGCTACAGACAGCACTGGGCCTGTCATCAGGTTAGCAAAGCAGCTTTTCACATGTCACAGCGGCCCCTTCTGGGCACATGTGCAACAGGGTCAGATGAAAGTAATTAAAATACCTCTTTACTGATAAACTGCCCCTTCTTAATACTGTGCCTCTTGTCTGCAGCTGTGGGATGAACTGTAAGGTGCCAACATTCAGAGTGGACTGAAAAGACTGTTTTTGTGTTTTCAGTTTTAAGGTTGACATTTCAGAAGAAAAGTACTGATGTAATATATTTTTAATATCTTTAAAACTTTCTAATCACCATACACCCCCCCACACCAAATATAATTTTGCACATCTTGTTTTATCTGTGAATCTTTTCTCAGCCACAGACAGGAACAGTCTGATCTCAGTGTTACTCTCTGTTTGCATACAGATCATTCAAGTGTCAAGAGGTAATTCATTAGAAACGCCTTCCTGCTTCATATACTGTACGTGTCTCCATTTACATTCCATCCCACTCACTTGATCAGCGTTGCATTCCTGCAGCATGTCAAAACACTGAACTTTGTACATCTTACCTTTCTCAAAATCATAACTGTTCTTATTGCACTGAGAAAATATTTTGTAACCCTTTTCAGTTGACTCTGGGAACAGGGTCAGCAAGCTTTTTTTAACAACAATAACGAGGACACAAAGGAGTCTCCATTATCTTGGATCTATGTAATTGATTAACAGGGCTAAAGCCGGTTTAAGCTTCTTGATGTTAAGCAGCCCTTCGGTTCACCCCTCACCCAAGAGCTGAAAGGCACTGAATCCGGGTCCACATCGACCCCCTGGTATCGCCCACGAGCCCCTCCCAGATCTGTTTCACTGAACGGGCTGCAGTGACCTCAGAGTCACGCTGCGCTGCACCTGAAGGCACCAGTGGCACTGGAACTGAAGCACCTCCTTACTGAGAAGCAGCCACGCCCCCTCAGATAAGGGACAGCTACTTGAATCTTTAGTGATTCTGGCAACACTAAAAGGAAAAACAAAACTGCATGTTCTTGTGTGACTCTCTTTGTTTCTTCTTCTTAGATGTTTCCAAGATAATAGGTGCTGTTTTCACGTAGTTTTTTGAAAGGAACTCGTTAACCTCATGGGGGGAAGGGGGACAGAAGTCACAGTTGTGTCACTGCTCCTTTTCTCCCCATTAGGTCAGCTCTGTGGCGTAACACTGAAATGCTTCCCTGTCTGTTCATTACACTCAACTTGAAACATAGTGCTTAGCATACAAAGGGGAAATATGGAAACAGAAAACATTCACACAAACCAGAAACCCCAAATATAAGAAAGAGAGCTCATTGGGCCGTAGATAACAGAGCTGTTGAGTAATAGTTAGTTAATAATTAGAGATGTTATTATCTCTGCATTATGAGGTGCTCCTAGATTTAGTTCCCCTGACACAGAATTTACTGGTGTATTTGCTCAGTGCTCAACAGCAATCCAGGATGCCAGTGGACCCCTCAGTCCTTGTGGACCCCTCGCATCCATTCCTCTCTGGACTCTTCAGCGCTGGAGGATGATGGGATACTAGTGTCTAAGGTGGAGGAGCCCCACTCTGTCGTGCGGCGTGCTGGCACGACTGGTTCTAAGCAATCTGTAGCCGGTGTTGGTCTTCCGGTCTGGGTCAGGCACTCGGCTCGACCAGTGCTGTGATGGCAGGAGATGCAGTGGCACCGGATCCCCGACCCGTGGGTCTGTCACGCGGCCTTCCGGACCTTCCTGTGTCTGTGCCACAGCAGGCTGGCCAGGCCCTGGGCCAGAAAGGGCCAGAGGAGCAGGAAGAGAAGAGTGCGCCCAGACACACCGAACGCCCCATACCAGGGCCCCTGCAGGCAAACACAAAACAGAGAAGAGTAAAACACAGCACAAACACGGCTCTTTACAATGCAAAATCGTGAAGCCTGTTTTCAAGATCTCCTCTCTCCTGCTCTGTATTCGGTATGAGGACCATAGGCTGGTCCTCCTGAATTGCCTTTCCAAAAAGACTGAACCATGTGAAAACGAAAACTTAAGACAGCAGGAAGGTTCATCTCAAATCCAGCACAGGACAGAGCCTGTTGTGGGTGTTTCTGTCAGTGTCCTGGTTGTTTTTTAAAGCAAGGATTCAAAGGGTAAAGGTCAAGGGCTAAAGGTTAGAGGTTGGCCAATCTGTAAGAGGGCAATGGGGTTAATATGCTGTAACAAGGAACTGTTACTCCAGTGTAATTATACATGAAGTGACATGAACAGGCTGCCAAGTTCAGCAGTGAATTCAGCCTGGAATCTGGGGGTGGCCGATCCTGGAAAGCCACAGGTCACACTAAAACCGCATTTTCATGTTGTATGAAATGCAATGTTTCAGTCTGTTTAGCAGGTATTCTGTTTAGTGAAGTCTGGATTGTTCATCTCTTGTGTGGAGAGGCTAAGGAGAGCTCCTGTTATCACTTCAAGACATCTCTTAATCACTAAATTATTTAATGACGAGCTGCCAAAGTGTTTTAAACAGTTGAACAGTTAAACAAGGTAACCAATGACACTTGCTGGAAAGTAAGTGACCACCTTAATGCCACACCTTCAGAAGGTGTCAATTAATGTGACATTGTCCATATTAATCCAGAAAGTCATTAATCCATTCAGTAACTAGCATTCATCACTTTTGACCAATCACCGCCAGGCAGGCTAGGTGGACTATTCTTTGTAACCTTTTTTGTTCCTTCATACAAACAGCTCCTCAGGTGTCACTGACCATCTCTGCAGATCAGATTGGGGTGTAGCCAATTGTAAAAACAATCTGAACTTTTTGTCTAAGTGATAAACCTTTGAACAAATATGCAGTCAAATTTAAAGTCATTAATAAAAATGTGTACTGTGGAGCACAGTCGAATGGAACTGAAGTCAGCAGGAAACTGTAACTAATGATTCATAAATAGCCATTTACTAGAAAGCATTACCAAGAACGAGTTTCAGGAAAGCCAGATGATATGATTGGTATTCAGAGCCTTTTTGATGATCACAGCAGACACCAGCACACCCCTCCACACCCTCCCCGCTGCAGGGCGAGAGCAGACTTCCGCCCACAAATTCCACTGTCAGTCAGAACACAGGCTGGCCAATTACAGAGCAACGCTCCATCCGTCTTAATGAAAGGTGGAATTTTTGTTGTCAGATCCGTTGCTGATAAGCTTATTTTTTAACCCGAGGTTTGAAGGTCACGTAGGCTGGCTGATTCCTCAGAACAGGTTTGAATAACGTACCTCAGCCCTGACACTACACTCACATTCCTAGCTGCTGTAACAGGTGCTTCTTTGTGGCAGCACGACTAGAAGGGCCCATGTACATAAACCCCAAGTCTTGCCTTCCTTAGCTCAGGCACGACCGGCTCAGTGGTATTTCCCTGTCCTCCTTTAACTTGGTCCTTGAGCTTCACTGTTCTTTCCTCACTCACTCTTACTCTTTCTACACCCTGGATTAAAGTGAACTTTGACCAGCAGATAACCGTCTGGCCAGAGGTCGGAGATATAACTGTTGTCCCTGACAATCAGACACGACACCCGTCGACTCCAGCAGACTGAACAATAGACTGAGATGTAGATCTCTCCCTGAACTGATCTGTTCTAAGGCTTTGTCATACCCATGACTTTTCCCTCTACAACCCTCTCCGAGGACGCTTCCTGACAGATCCCTGGAGTGATGACATGTCTCCTGCACTCCAGTCTCCTCTTTCTCGCCATACTCCTAACAGCACGACGTCTTCACCTCTGCTTCCTCTGAACGAAAGAGGCACTTGCAAAGCCGCCGTGAGACAGGTGTGACGGGTTCCCTGGCCCGTCTCGTCCTCTTTCATCGTGCGCATCCGATCACGGAGACAAACACAACCCCACGCCTCGGCCGCTAACCGCCCGTGTCGCCCTGCGGAAGCGCCTGAGCTCTTTACCTTTTCCGCAGGAGTGACGTCTCGCGCTGCAGGTCTCCAGCCTGGCTCCCGTTCCTGGAGCACAGAGAGACAGAGTTCAGGAGACAGGTCTCCGAGTGCCCAACGCCTACCGCTCAGCGCTCACGCCCTCCTGCGTGTGCTGTAGGGTGACCGTGCTGCCCCTCCGAAATCGCATTCCTGACATCGGAGCTCCTCCTTTTCACATAACACTGCCAGGAATTTGACCTGTCCACCATGTTACACAGGTAAGCAGAATTCCCCGTTTCCAGAGCAGGATCGTACCAACACCACCACCATTTGTGGCCTGAGCCTTGGTTTAACAGTGCAGAGCGGTGCTCCAGCTCTTTGCATTTGTTTGCGCTTTGACTCGCAGGCACAGCTCTCAACATGTCGAGAAGCAGAGGTCTGACCAGCTGGAGGGCAGCCGGTGGGTTTGTCACGGGAAGGACCTCCGGCTTTTTTAAGCTCCCCGATTATCCTGTAGGTCAGGGGATCTTGGCTCCTGTGCTCTGGGAGCTGTAGCCCAGCATGTCTCCTCGGTCTGGTCCACCTGGGTAATTAAATGCTCGGGATACTGGGATGGGATGTTTTTTGACAACCTTTGACACAGACTGTCTTCTTGAATTCCCATAGTAAATCTGTGTGGTATGTTCAGTCTCGAGTATTTCCATGCACTTACTGTGCTAGGATGGGGCTCCCATGCCAGCACACATGCCTTGCCACACGGCTCTCTGCTGCCCCCCGGAGGTGCTGGGCAGGGCCAGCAGAGCCTACCTGCGCGGGCGTCAGCCTCTCCAGCGTCTCCAGCCGCTCCAGTAGGTGGCGCATGTCCTCCTGCAGTCTCCGCAGCGCCAGGGCAATGTGCTCCTGCACCGCGGCCCCCTGGCCGACCCCCGGGCCTCCCTCCTCGCCGCCCCTGCCCCCTGCCCCCGCGCCCCCCGCCAGCGCCCGCCCCGCGCGGGGGACGTCACCCCGGTCCCTGGAGCCTGCAGCGACACAAACGCAAATGAATGGTGAGATTGCCAGGCGTGGCGCCACACCAGCCCCCCGCCAGCAGCAGCGCCGCAGCGCGTGGTTCCCCCCTGGCCAAGCGCCCAGGGGCCCGGGGCCCCAGCATGAACACGGACACCCAGAGAGGAGCTCGATGAGGAGCACTAATGGGCAAGTCTGCATCTCAGCACCTGTCCGACTTGCTGTCCCGAGGATAGATCATCAATATGAAATGCACTGGCTGGCAGGCAGCTCTGCACGGATCTGTTGAAGGGCAACGAATTGATCACACTAGCTGAACGTGGCAGTGATTTCAGCCTAGCTGTGTTGTCAAGCATACGTATCATGAATCAACCCCACGAGGGGCAAGCTTTTGAGGTTTCTTTCTTTTTAAGCCAACAAAGAGAAGGAATAAGAGAACGATGTCTTCTCACGTGTCTCCTCTCTGCGTCCTTCTCGTACTGCCCTGGGGGAACCCCTCCTCCTCATCCTCTGTCCCCTTTCTCCGCCTTGGCCCAGTCCCATCTGGGTTGCCTCAGCAACGGGGGTGTGGTCAGAACCAAGACCATTCAGCCATTGGTCGCACTACAGACAGAGAACACAGTGTGACCTCCACAGGCCACACCCACAAAGAGACACGCCCCCATTACAGAGCTCCACATGTGGACTGTAGGCTCTGGCCCTTATGGGTGCTTCTCCACTCTTTATTTCTTTAAGGAAGTTTAAAGTTTAAAGTTCCTGGTTCTCCATCGAAACATCACAGATCTTGCCAGCTCTGCAGTTCCCATCCATCCTTCCATTTTCCCACTGCAAGGATCACAGCCGCCTGAAACCTATCCTTGTTTCCTGAGGCTAGATGGGACTGCACTGTGGACAACCACAACCCATCACTGTCAGACCTTTGTCAAAATGTCAGGGGGTTAAAAGATATTGGGTCAGCCCCTTATTGGACAAATTAGGTGCCCATCACCCAGCTATTAGGATAAGTGGTTAAAAATTCTCCTGTATGAAAGAGAACCAGATAAAATCTGCACTTTTTTTTTCCTCATGGATTTATTTTGCATTTCCACTGCTTCCCAATATTCACATCCTGGTTTACCAAATCTGTGCTTTACTGTAATTACTACAGTATAGATTCTTAGTAATTAACTCACATCATTAGCTAGTGGAGAAACATGTTTCACCTTTGCTCAACAGGCTGTTGGTCAAAAATCTGTGACCTTTGACTCCTGTACCTTATCGTGGTCCAGGCGTTCCAGCGAGTCACAGAAGACCTCTCCCTCCGAGTCACTGGACACCCGAGGGCCCTCCAGCACCACCCCTGCAGCAGAGAGACACGAGTCGCCAGCATGAAACATCCCTCCCCGGATAGCACCCCTCCGTCCCTGAACCCCAACAGACAGCACTGACACCGGGGAGGGAGTGCAGACCGGACTGGGACTGGGGGAGGGAGTGCAGACCGGACCGGGACCGGGGGAGGGACTGGGGGAGGGAGTTTTCCCTCTTAACAGCAGAAACACCAACCAGTCAATCCAGCCCTGCTACACAGGTAGATCTACAAGGAGCCACCCACCGCTCACGTGAAGAGACACCGATAACTCCCTCACAGCGAGAAAAGGAGCTCATCACTCCTTGAGGACACCAGTCACACTCTGGGGAGTTTCCTTCAATTCACAGCTGCCCGGGGAAGACAGTGGACCACAATTTCCTAGATGCAGCACCTATTCAGTCAGGGTCACTTCAGAGCTGGAGTGTTTGCAGCTGGCTGACTGCGTGCTCTTTGGCTCACAACAGAATTCAGTTCAGACAAGTAATTCAATCACAGAGCCAGGGACCATGTTGGAGAATGATAAGAGACACTGCATACCGAATGTGCAGGAGAATGACAGCTCTTAATTACCTCTTCACTCAACACCCCTTTGTTTAAAAACCCAAACCAGCTGAGAGGGGCGTGTCCTGGTAGGCCCGAATTGAGCCATTTGTTTCACAATGTCAGATCCTGGAAGTCACAGGCGTGGTACTATATGTAGGAACAGGCCCCTTGATCCTCCTGCCTTCTGTTAGCAGTGGTATTACTGATTACACATGAACTGCCCTGAAGAAGCCCAGTTCACAGAATCAGTCCCACAGCCTTTCTACAGCAGAGTCTAAATAAATAAATGAGCTGAACATCTAAACTCAAAGCTGTGAATACGTTAGAGACAGGATCTGATTTAAGTCCTAAAAATATAGTTGAGGCTGGGTTTTGCTTCTCACTTATGTCTTTAATTAGGACACAAAGGCATAAATGGTAGTTTAACAAATTACTTTTTTCTTAATTATTTTTCTTTTGATTCAAATCTCTTATTTCTGTCAAGGCCAGTATTTGGGTTCAGTCCTGTTTCTGTGCTATGTCCTGAAATGTTTTTTAAGAAGTCATCCGCACTGCCTTTCCTTCATTCTTAACTTTCTTCAGAGCGATAAACCAGGCAAGAGTCTCTCTTGTCCCCTTTCTTTGATGTTAGTTGCGAAATGTATGTCAATACAGAAACAATGGATCCATTTTCTAACCACTTTAATCCAGTTCAGAGTCACGGAGCAGCCAGAGCCTATCCTGGCAAGCAAGAGGCACAAGTCAGGGCACAGACAGGGCACAGACAGGGCACAGACAGGGCACAGACAGGGCACAGACAGACAGCACCCCAGGTCCCGAACTGAACCCAGGGCCCCGGCGCTGCGAGGCAGCAATGCTGAACTAATCATATTACTTACTGCAACATGTCTGTGCATGTTCCTGCACTATAAATAGGAAGTATTCAGCATCTGTGGGATACTATTTAGACCATCACACTGTACCAGGGAAGCCTGAGAATCACCTGCTGTGATGCGTTTCCCAGAAACCTCCCCCTGACAGCCGCTCGTCCGCACCGTGTCCCACGCAGGACGAAGCTCACCGTTCCCCAGGCTCTGCAGCTCCTGGCTCAGCTCGAGACTCGCGCCGCTGTCCGTGTCCGTCCGCTCCAGCCCTGGTCACACACACAGGCAGGAGGGAGAAGAGAGTGTGAGTGGCGTTAGCTCCGTCCACAGGGCCACACCACTCGCATGGGTACAAGCGGGGCTGATGGTCAGCCTGACCCCTTTCCAAACACGCCTCGTCACGAGGGACAGCTCACCTCTCTGACACACCTGGCACCTGCACGCTCAGCTCTGGCTTTGTTGGTGCTGGTCCTCACAGACCTGCGTCTACTTGAGGTCCATCAAACAACCTTAAAACTGAACCATTTATTTACAAAGACCCTTTTACAAATTTCAGCTTCAGATGAGGTCATCTGAGGTCAGAAATTACCATCAGATATATTCTTGGTTTCAGAGGACCCCGTATTTCCTGTCCTGTGCCAAGTATAAGGGCTCTGCTCTCCTATTCTCTGCAAACAGTGGACTTGAAGGCACCAGTCACAGATGAGATCATGAATGATAAGATAATGACCTGCCCTCAGGCTCTGCAGCGCCTCGGGGAGCTGGGGCATGTCGTGGATGACGTGGTAGAGAGGCTTGAAGTAGTGGAACAGGGCTGCCGTCTTCTCCGTCACGGGCATGGTGTCAATCACCTGCAGGGGGCGACACAGCCTCAGTCGTGCCAGCACGCTGCCTGGACACGCGTGCTCGTACGTGCTCAGGTCACCCCGCGCTCCGAAACACACAGCACACGGAAACAAGTCTGAATCCCAGGGGTATCAGTCTGATCCCCCCCCGGGCTGTACCAGCAGAAGACAATGCCAGGCGCTGGGTACGTCATGCTTTCTACCTTATTAAGAGAGGCCTGGAGTTCCAGCAGTAGGAAATACAGTGACTCTCTGTGCTGAGGACAGGAGAGAGGCCCTACCTCCTGTGCCACTCTCTTTATCTCATCAACGTAGGCTGTCATGGCTGCGCTGTGAGACATGTTTCCCAGGCGCTTCCAGGAGTCCCTGCGAGGAAGAGGCATTATAAAGCCAAATCCCAGCGGCACACACAACGACACAGTCACACGCAAGGACCAGTGGGCATGCATGCAGGACGGCGGCCAGGAAGAGTTCCTGTGCACGAAGAGCGATGGGCGTCTGGAACAAGCCTGCCAACCACATGCTGAAGCAGATGCCCTGGGGAATACCAGCAAGTGAGCAAACACAATGGGCAGAACCGCCCTCTCTGGTTTGCAATGTTTGCAATGTTTCTAATAAATCTTATGTAAACTTAACACACATACTGTATGTACTGTATTCATAGCAGCAGCATATTCCAGTCTATAACCATTGAAACAGATCTATCCAGCTTCCCTGCAAGTCCCTCACCATTTGTAGCGGCCGACGGGGTCCCAGAACCCGGGACGAGGCAGCCTGCAGGGGCCACAGGTCGCCTGCTTGTAGAGGCCGTACAGCCGGAGCATCACGTCATAGGAGGGCTTGTAGCAGCCTGAAGCAGAGCACCACACAGGCCAGCTGTCAGTCAAGCAGAGGCCGAGAAACTCATTCGAAACAAATCGCAACATCTTTTTCCCCGCAGGAGGTTTTAACGTCCGCCCGGCAGATCTGTCGTGTGGCGCCCAGCTCACCGGTCTTGGGCAGGTTCTGGATGACGCAGACCGCGGTCTGGAAGCGCCGGTGGCAGTCCTGGTCTGCGAGAGCCATGCCCCCTGCGGGCACAGCCTCCCCACGGCCCTCCAGGGGCATCTGGCCCGGGCTCAGGGGCGACGGCCTGCGGCACAGCGGCGCCACCCGGGGGGCCCGCCTGGGACTGATCCGTCAGGGCGCCCCGGACCCTCCGTGGAGTTGACAACTGAGTGCAAACACTGCCGAGACACCTCTCAGCCCGCGTAGTGAAAACTAAACTGGAACAAGCAATAGGTTTATTCCCTGCGGAAAAAGAAGAAAGAAAACACGTTTAGGCTGTGGAGCCTTCTTAAATGACCAAGTTAATTACGTAAAGTTCTTCACAGTATGGTGCCATTGTAAAGAGAACTGAAGCAGAAAATACATTTTCAAAACACTGTGTTCTGTACATGATACATGAAATCATAAAGCTAAGCCTCAGTTTCATAGATTTTATTTGATTCCGTTTAGCTACAGAAGCGCGTTACTTCGCCAATATGCAAGGACCTTTAAATCTTAAAGCCTTTAATCGCTGAAAGTGTCGGTGCTGAAACTCGCCCATGCACTCAAACGGCGGCGGCTGTATCGCGCTGATAGCTTGTATCTTGAGCTCAGCAAGTGATACTTTGCACTTTCCTTCTGACTAAGGTCGGTTACCTTACAAAATTAACCCCGGCGTCTCCTGACCGCTCTGAAACCAGCGGAGCTCACGGCGCACCTGACCGGTACCGACTAGCCCGGCGGGGCGGCTCAGCTCGACTCTGTAGGCTGTCAGGTAGAGCCCATATCGCCTGTGTTACCCTGCGCGCTTTACGCAGAGAGACAGACTTCAGCAGCCCTGGGCTACAGCGCAGCAGACTGATCCATCAGCTGGTCCCTGGGCGGGCGTGCTTCCGCTTCTCCTCTCGCTTCTTAGCCAATCACAGGCCGAGATTCCGCCCATCCTCCCACCCCCTGCGCAAGACGTTAAGACGGACCAATCGGAATGAGATACTTTCTGGGACAAAACCGTCATAACCGTTATAACCAATGAAAAGATTTTAAATGTTACTTGGCCCCTCCCCCCTGCCAAACCCACACACACACACTTGCATATGAAGGCGAAGTTTGAGCGCCCTCTTGTGGCAAAAGGCGACTCTTCGGAGGTCCTTGTGTTCAGGACACAGGACTTGTGACCTCAAGGGTTCGACAAGAAGATTTTGTGTTCTCCAGCAGCTGGGCTCTAGAGCTATATTTCTTGTAACTGGAAGAACGCAAATAGACCATAGTTTTGCATCTGAGCAGGGCTTTTATAGGTGCATTTCAGAGCGTGAATTGTCACGCCAGAGTGCTCATTCAGAATTCGGATGTCTGTTTGTCTCAAGTTTTTTACTCCTTCAGTAATAATAGTATTAATAATAATAATAATAATAATAATAATAATAATAATAATAATAATAATAATAATAATTCCTTACACTTATATAGCGCTTTTCTGGACAATCCACTCAAAGCGCATTAAGTCAGGAGTGGCCACCCCTGACCCTGCAGAGTTTCATGTTAATGTTCAGCTTTAAATAAGCTGGTTGCATTACAGTCTCAATTTAAATTAAACTGCAAGTGGAAACATCGGGATTTCTCGGATAACTCTGTTAGTTGCATAGTGCATAACAATGAAGGCAAGGAGCAATGACTGTGATTAGGCTGACGGTGATCTGCTCAATTCGGAGACGGCTCAAATACTAGGCTCCTCTGACAAACCGCTGATGGCAACAGTGTTTTTTAATCAAATAAATGGACACGTTTGAAGGAAACCTTAAAGTGACCTTAAACACGTCTAGACGAAACATGAAAAAAAAAATCATTGAAATAACGTGTGCAAGAGTATCCCATCTGGTATCCAGGGTATAGTTTTGTTGTAGGTTGTATTAACCAGAAGGCGGCGCTATATGCTCTAGCATTTTCTAGTTTTACCGCTGAGCCTGACTCTCAGGACTACATGCAGGCTCTGCCACGTTCTCCAGAGCAGTCACCGAGCGCTGATTTATGATGGCGAGATCTCGTACAAGTGTGGTAGAAACTGAATATTGTAGCGTTTCGCACCCCCCCAGAATGGAGTGTCCCAGTGACCCTTAGCCTTTCACCTTAAGCCTCAACCCTTCTCTTTCACCTAATAAAATCAGGAGAAATCGCTCTTTCACCTCCTGTCCTTTTCAGGCCTGTCTCTTTCTCTTCCACACTCCCTATCCTTATCTCAATTCAAACAGCCTCCTAGCTCCTTATCTACCTTTCATTAACAGCCCTCTGTGAAATAAAAGGGCGATAAAGCCCCCCTGTAATCCTAGACGTCCCCAGATTATTAAACCTCACCAGCCAACACAAGACTGTTCGCTATCCGTCCATTTTCAAACTGTATTTGTCAAATTATATTTAGGTATCTATATATCAATCTTTGTAACTTACATTTAGTTCATTGATCCTCTGAAAAGCGTTACAGTCTACAGTGTATAAACACTTTATTATGTCATAAACAGCCGTTTGGTTTCCAGACACCTTCACAATATTAACGCCCGGACCGGTGTTGAAGGCTGTGACACAGAGAACGGCTCATTCTGTGTTCTAACCTTAAGCTTCGTTTTACATCTTTATCGCGGTACATTCTCGGGAAAACAGAGCGGCATAAAATTCTTAAGAACCTCATAGTCGAGGCAGGGTGGCTTTTTTTCCAGTCGAAGTTCTCTCAGCCGGTACTAGGGGGCAACATATCGCCAAGCTGGGATACTGAATAAATCTCGACGCCTGAATGTCTTATGAAGCTTTAGTCCAGCCCGGTCAATTACGAGCTTCGCCGTATCCCAGGTTCTCTGAAAGGGAAATATTATCTTGGATTGCTTCCTCTTATTTTCGGATCCTCGCTGTGTGGATTTTACCCGCAAACCCTAAACCCTGGCGACTCCAAAGCTCTGTGTATATGTTCCCGTCTACTTTTGCTTTTGTCCGGAGAAAGCCGGTGTGGCGGAGGTGTGTTGTGGAATATATACTGTAATTACATACTCGCATTAGAAGATAGCTGGTCAACTGGGGAAACTGGCTGCGCCGGTTTCCACGAGATCGTGGTAAAAGAATAAATGAATGAAATAAACAAAAGGGTGCCTATTTTCCGAAAGCTTTGGTAGAAATCCTGAGGTGGGGGTCTGTCCTGTTAGTCTGGAACGCCATCTCCTCTCTGTCTTGCCTGCGTGTGAGCTTGTCTTTCGTCTCAAGCTATTTGTTCTCACGAATCGGGTTTTTTTTTCAGTCCGTATTCGCTTTGCTTCAGAGGAGACGTACCCCACAATCAAGCTGCGCTTTGCTCTTTTCGAAAAAAAAAAAAAGGTTTTAGCCTCTCTCAAACATTTTCGGTGACATCACCGGCTCTGTGGGCAGCCTCCGGATTTTTTTCCCTACTACTAGCGAAGGAAAAGTTTTTTTAACTCGCGAGACGTCTTGGAGACGCCAAACACAAGAGAGCTCACAGGAACGGACCGGGACCGCTGGCCTCAGAGATAAGAAACAGCCGGGAAAAATAAAAATAAAAAATCCTAAACACCACCCGGGTTGGCACCATGTTTAGAAAAAACAAGAAGGACAGAGTTTTGGAGAACGAGGCGGGCAAGTCGGAGTGTAAACAGGATCTGCGCGCACTGAGGAAGTTAGGTAAGGTGGCATCAAGGCAGCCTCTGCGGTTGCGATAGTGACCAGTTTTTGCATTCGGTTATAGGACTTTGCAAGTCACCGCAGACTGAACAATAATTTACTGTGCACCATCGACAGATACAGACAAGTGTACATCTGCCTTCGAAATGATTCGAGACGTGGGCGAACTGTACCAGATTTATTGATGGCGAAGACCATACAGGACTCTGGTGTGGGGAATGCACCGAGAGCCTTATTAGGTGTCACTTGAGACAGCGCACATTCCCGTCTGTTAAGTTCGTCCCGGCTCCTAAGAGCAAAGCGCAGGATAGATGCCACAGCGAGCCCGGGACACTGGCCAGAGTTACTGAAATTAAACCATCCCTCCATGAAGAGCCAGTAACTACTCCAGCGATCCCTCTCGTCATGTGTGTGGCCGGTGTGTGTCAGGCATGCCTGTAGTTCTTTATCCCTGGTTACCCCTGAAGTGCGCCAGCTGGGTCTGGTTCCCCTGTCGCCAATTCTGGGCGGAACCCGCGTACTTTTCTGCGTGTTTCTCTGGTCCGACAGTCATGGCCACCCAGGGACCTGCTGAGGAGTCTGGAGGTCCTGGCGGGGCTCTTGCCGAACTTGGGGTGCGGACGGTACCGGAGAGTTTTAGCACGGCTCTGTGAAGCCAGACTATCTTGCCTGCAATTTAAAAACAGGCTACGGCCCATGGAAAAAATGAGTGAGGCTTATTGGAAAAGCTTATGTAAAGATAAAAGCAATTTTCCTGGATGTGCGATGAGGGACGACTGGTATTAATATTATTGTTATATAAGTATAGGATCACATGAGCTGTGATGGCTTTGTCATCGGGAAGAGTTGTCGCTTTGTGTTTGTTGATGGATCATTGAAAAGTTATTTTAGCCTTTGTTGAGATGCTGTGATTCAGAGGGCTGGCGCTAGACGGCAGCGGTGCCCTTCTTGGTACCTCTGTTTTTTCAAACTGGCTGAAAGATGCTGTGTCGGAGAATATACTCATTCGCGCAGATACTATTCACGAAAGACACAGAATATTACTAGACCTGAAAGAATACATGTTCCTCTCCCATAGACTCGCGAGTGTGTCACCACTGTTAATTTTTGTACCAGCGGCGGTGCTGGTTCGCCGTTTAAAGATGCGCTTTGACCCTGGAAGTTGCCCAGAAGTGAATGGTTAAAGACATTTAAAGACGCGACTGTAAACGGTGTGGAGCGGCGCATTAGAGAAATTCGCCTAAGAAAGAACTCCGTGTGTAAGAAGTGGAATTTTCCAGTGAGCGATGATTCCCAACCAGGTGGAGAATATTCTTGTGCTTTACTAATTTTTACAGTCTCCGGGATAAAATCAGATCGCGGCCTATACTGGTGAGCAGGGTCCCGCTGATCTAAATAACTGTCAGGGTGCTATTCCAGGCTGATTCCTTTAATTTCGTCAGAAGGACAACGAGGGGCACTGGAAATTACAGCACTGGACAGCACAAATTGCACTGGAAGCAGTTGTAAAATATTTCAAAACTAAGGCAGTGTAGATTTGAAAAGATTTTTCCCTCTTAGTTCTTGCTCATCGGTTGGAGTCCATGTAGGGGAAAATACTGCGTGAACCTTTTCTGAGGCAGCTAGTGGGCTGTGTCCTCCCATCTGGGCTGGGCTGAGCTGAGCTGAGCCCTACTGGGCTGACAGTGAAGTAGGGAGGGTCAGGTCCAGAGCTGTCTGTGCTCAGCAGAGACATGGAGTCCTTCTGTTCAGTGAGTTGCCTTTCCTGAGCCAGGAACATGGAGAAACAGAAAAGATTTCACCCTGAACCTCACAAAAGGAGGAAATGGTTATGAAAACAGCTCCCACAGCAGGGCGCGTTTCTCACTGAGGATGTGGAGGGCCTCTGAAGAGCCAGGGTGCGTCTGAGTCAGAGCAGCCTTGAGCGCTCCCTGGCTGTGACGGCACTCAGAAGTGTTCCTGAACGAGTGTGGGAGGAGGGGGTGGCCTCTGTACGTGCTGACCTGCCGCCTGTCCAGTTTGCTGACTGACACTGCCGTGTCGACAGAAATAGAGCGGAGGAAAGGAGCTGCAGATAAGGGGCTGGAGACTGTGTGTTTATGTCCCACAATGTCCCTCAAGCTGCACTGCTGGCCCTGTCCGATACTGGGTTCCCATATCCTGGTCCAAACAAACACGGGATCTCCAGGGGCTCATTCTGAATCGGGCACTTCTCATCATTAACTGGGCATATCACTGGGACTGGGACTAGAAGTGTACACCAGAATGGCAGATTATCGCAACTGGTTCAAAACTGGACAAATGGAGCTGGGAATATGGAAACTTGGATAGTAACAGATTGTTGAAAATCAAAAGCACCTTCATTGCTGCAATGTTTTTAAATTTTCTATTCACATTTTTATGTTCATGCTTTTGCAAGATCCCAGCTGTTTAATGGAAATGACACATTGCATTGATCAATACAGTTGGTCTGAATTACCAATGAGGAGTTGGACTCCTGGTGTAAGAGTGTCCTACATGAGTGTCTCTGACTGGTGGGACTGACACCTGACACCTAACTAACGCGACGTGCCTTCAGACATTAACGTGGCGTAGAGGTGTTTTGGAAAGGTCACATATTCAGAAATACAAGAAATTAATGAATGAAATGGGGTGTTTAGATACTGTACGTCTTAATGTTGTGGAGTAACCAAAGTGTGGTGTTACATGTGAACTCACGAGACAGAGGCCACGCCTCCAGTCCTCGCAGGCAGAGAGAGTCAAGCTGGACGCTTGACAAAACAAAAGGTTCATGTATGGAGGAGGTGGACTCAGGCTGAACATTAAAATGAGTTTTACTCAAAACATGAATAATACTGCGCTCGGGCCGGTGACGTGTGTTTGTTATGGAGGTGTGCAGTGGGATTGAAACAGGTCAGAAACGCTACTCTAGATGACGTGCTTCAGAGCAATTAAAGCACAGTTGTATTAAAATCACCATCCCCCGATTCAGAGCTGAGCGACAAGTGACAGTCTGTCAGCCTGGATTCTGGGGGCGGGGGGCACCTTGTCTTTGATTTCTCGTGAATGAGCCACTAGGCTCTTTTAATGCTGCGCTTGCACTGGGGGAAAGTTGACTGTTATGAGATTAATTTAATTCCTCTTTCTCCAGGGGAAGCAGTTTTCTTTCACTTCTTCTTCCACAGCACCGATCATTCAGTACCAAGCCTGGAAGTGTTGGCTGCCTGACACCTCAGCCAGTGCTGATCTAGACCAATCGCAGAGCGGTTTGAAATGTGACGATCCAGACACCACATGGAGCAGGAGCCAGCACATGAATAACCAGCAGCTGGATTTATACTTGTCCTACAGGGCCTGATGCAGACGGTCATGCACGTGGGCGCAGAGGTGCTGCAGCCAAATCAGCTTTTATGATTCTGTGGGGGGCTCTGGCCAGCTGGCTGCTCCCCCCTTCGTTCGGCTGAAGTCGCTATGTCCAGGCGTTTCAGGCAAACACAGGATACATTGTCAATCTGCACTGCAGGGCTGGTCTCATGCCCAGACCACAGCAGTACTTTGAAGGAATCTGCAGCCCTTGGTTTGTGTGTTAAGGCCATTATTAAGATTGTGAGGTGTGTCTGTCTTCTGGGCTGATTTGTGTGCTGTAATGTGTGCCTTGTTGAGTGTGACAGATAGCCCCGTGCTGGCTGGATAGACACACGTGCCTTTTACCTTTCAAGAAGCTGAACTTCGACCGGCTGGATTAATAATTAACTCTTTATAATCAGGTAGAGGAAATGATCTCTGAGGAAACAAAGTGAAAGGCAGTTCAGATGTTCAGGCACTAACAGGAGACATCCAGTTGAGGACAGACATTATTAGACAACAGACTGGAGAAAGGCCCTGGACTTGTATCCCATACTGAGAATGCATGGCCCAAAATAATACTAAAAACAGGCATTTAATGAAGAAGGTTATAAGGTTACCTATGAATTGGCTTCATTACTCTGCTCTCCTCCCCACTGAGAGCTGGTGTGTGGTGAGCGTTCTGGCGCACTATGGCTGGCATCGCATCATCCAGGTGGGGCTGCACATTGGAGCTGGTGGTAGAGGGGAGACCCCATTACCTGTAAAGCGCTTTGAGTGGAGTGTCAGCTGAGGCTCTAAAGACAGGTTGTGTAAAAACTGTAGAGTCAGCAGTGCTTCCTCACAGCACAGGGGCCCTGGCTTCAGTTCAGGTCAGTTCTGGACCTGGGGGGCTGTCTGTGTGGAGTCTGTATGTTCTCCAAAGACACATGAAGGTTAAATTGGCTTCTGGGAAAACTGGCCCTAGTGTGAGTGTGTGTG